TATAAGTGAATATGCAGATACATATTTACATATAACTATGTATGTCTGCATGTTGTAAATCAACTTCAAAACTTACCGCCTGCATTTTGCATGTTGTTGTCGTCGGCGAGATCTTCGTCATTTGCTTCGCTTGTTGCTGGCGCCGGTGATGTTGCTGCCGATGCAGGCAGCGATGTTGCCGCTGCTGCAGCAGTCGCTGTGCGCGCTGTTGCTGTTGCTGTCGCCTCGGGCACAGCATCACTTTGTTGTAATGCGGCTAATGAGGCGGCAAAATTGACGTGTTGCTGCCGCGTGAAGTCGAACACCGATGCAGCATCTGCATTGCCAGTTACTGTTGCTGTTGCAGTTGGTGTTGGTGTTGGCGATTGAGTTGTTGGCTCGCTTTTAATTGCTGCTGCTGCTGTGTTGGTCGCTGTGGGGCAACGCTGCTGCCAATACTCGGCGGTTATCAAATGCTGCAGACTGTGCGTAGGCAAATGCTGGCCAAACAAATTGCTCAGATGCTGCAGCGGTGAGCTGTTGGCAACATGTTGCTTCAACAGCTGTTGCTGCAGCAGCAATTGCTGCTGATGCTGATGATGCTGCTGCTGCTGCTGTTGCTGTTGCTGCTGCTGATGATGATGATGATGGTGATGGTGGTAAAGCAGCGTGGCTGCTGCAATGCTATCGCTCGCATCGCTGTTCAATTTATATTTGGTTGTTGTTGTTGGCGTTGACATTGTTAGTGCTTCCGCTTTGGCCAGCTGTCGAATGCTGCTGCTGCTGCCGCTGCTATTGTGATCGCTGCTGCCGCTGCCGCTGCTGCTGCTGCTTTGATTTGTGTTGCAAGCGTTTTTGTATTCTAGTAACATGCCGTTAATGCTGGCAGCCCTAGCAACTGTCTGCTGTCGATGTTGCTGCTGTTGCTGGCGAAGTTGCTGTTGCTGTTGATAGTAGTTTGCTAGCAACAATGGCATAATCAATGTTTACAGCTAACTGTGACAGCAGCAGCATGGACAACATATACATAGATACCAGCACGTTTTACTCGATCTTAAGGTCTTAAGGGTTTGAATTCAAAAGTTCTTCAGCGTCTGCAATTAGTAAAAAAAACTTTGTTTAGGCTTTATTTTTTTTTTTTTTTTTTTTTTTTTTTTTTTTTTTTTTTTTTTTTTGTCATAGTTTGTGTATAGTCTTAGCCTCGACTCGAGCGAGGCATTTACAAAATTCAAATACTTTCAAGTTTTCTTAAGCTCATTTGCAGCTTAAGCGAATTTCGGGTTCTGAAGCGAGAAGTAAACATGAAATGGTTGAGGGCGGAACTGATTGACCAAAATATACCCTATCTGCAGATTAGAACTAGACTTTACCCTATTGAATATACCTAATTGTTTTTTATTTATGGTCTAAATTATAGCTTTATGGAAATATTTGTAATACTCATTCATTATTTTATCACATTAATTTAACTTTTTATTGTATAGTTCAAAAATTTTGTCAATATACCCGTTCGACATACCTATGAGTTATTCCAAAATAAATTACAAATAATCGTAATGTCAAAAATTTCATGCAAACTCATTGTAACACACCAAGTTTTGATGGACATGTGAACCAGCCGCGGCTTTGGTGCTTTGGTCAAGCATTTTCCAGTTAATCATCTCGGCAAAGTTTTTGTCATTTTAATTAGTTCAATTTCGGCGTATTTTCGGTCTAAGCATAAGTCGCAGCTCGCGACTCATTTCATATTTTCACCAGACGAAGAAGAAGAAGCAGATGAGCTACATGACTTTGCGCCGAATTATAATCAGAAAATGCGCACTCATCGCATTTCTCCACCTCTCTCTCTCTTCCTCACTGTTGGGAAGAGGAAGCATTGGGATGGGCTGGTCTATAGGCAGAGGCTGTCGACAGCGCGATTTGAAGGTAGCCGCGAAGCAAGGCAATTGAACTGAATATACATAATCGCTAGAAGAGTCAAAAAAAAATGTACCGAGCACTGAACAATAACAATAGCAAGCGAAGAATTGAGGAGGAAATACACTGAGAGAAAGTATTGATAAAGCTGCTGAAATATGATTTAATATAGTTTAAATATGGTATAGCCCTATCTTAGCTTTATAAATATACTTCATTATATTTATAGAGCTTTCATATATCGTCTCTCTCTTTCTATGTATATATATATCTCCCTTATCCTCTTATCCTCTTTCTCTCTTTGTCTCTCTATCTCTCTATATTCGCCTCTTTTTCACTCTACCCCACCAATATGCCACCCTCGCTAAAAAAAGTCGCATGATATGGCCACACTGTGCCAAAAAATTCTTAAGTTTGACCAAAAATGGAGTGTTTAGCTTTAGCTTTATTAAAAATTCCCATTCAATCTTACATTTCCTCTAACCTGCTCATAAATTTCTTGCAGTGTCTCAATTGATATGGCAGCTACATACAATGGTCGTGGCATTAAATGGCTCGACTCGACGCCGCGACACGGCACATAGAGCGACCGGCATTATAATTACAAGTCATCTACCTGATGTTTTTGACCATTTAAGCTACAAAACACGAACAAAAACCCGTCAAACAGTAGCCGAAAGAAAGAGAGAGAGAGAGAGACAGCAAGGGGTGGAGAGTGTAATCATATAAAAATAAATAATAATCACACAATAAATACGCCTTGCCCCAGCCCAGATGGCAACAAATTTCCATTCTTGTATCGACATTAACGCGCATAATTGTTAATACCATTTAAATAAGCGTAAAACTCTGTGCCCCAAGTCATGTTCCACGATTCGAACTGCAAACGGGCAACACTTTAGCAGGAAGGAAGAGCTCTACAGATAGCCCTCTTTTTACCTTGTGCTGAACATGACTTGGCCCATTTCTATTTTAGATTCTCTTTCTTGATTTAACTAGTTTGGATCCAACTCTAAGAGTATTATTAAATTTTTTTCGGGCCACGCGAAATGGGAACGAACTGTTGATAGAGTTTACAGTTTAATCAGTGGAAATATTTAAAGAAATTATATTAATGAAGTTAAGCTAACAAAATGTAGTCGCACTTATGTGAAGCATGATTCAGCTCTTGCAATAGAATTCTGTTTATGAATGAAAGCGTTTTATAAAGGAAAAAGTAAGGGGACGTTCCATAAACACAGTTGATGAAAGATCTGAAAGTCAAGCAACTTTACAGTATGTTAATAACATTATGCTTGATTGAATTAGCCAGAGTTTCTTTAGTTTTTCAAATTCACATTAAAATAACACTGATATTTATATGCTATTATTTCATAAGGAGCTAGTTAATGTTTCATGTTCTCTAAAAGTCAATTATTGTCAGTCTAACGCAAAATATCTCGAGATAACCCAAGTTTAGCTGAGAATTGTTATTGAAAAGTTTATTGACACGCAAATGAAATCCGATTAGGAAAGGGTACAACGTTATTTTCTAAAAGCATTACATATTTTTGCACAATTTAGAGTCACCAAAACACAAAAACAGAACCTGTTTAATAAAGGAGATAAGCCGTAATCAACAATTATATAAAAACGATCTAATAATCGTTATCAGGCAGACTTCTTTAAATATAAACACCTGCCCTAGGGTAAGCTGAAGTACTTCAGATTTAATTTTTAAATTATTGCGCTAGTAATGAATAATGAGTAATGAGTGATGAGTAATGAACAATGAGTAATGAGTAATGAGTAATGAGTAATGAGTAATGAGCAATGAGTAATGAG